GGGTTTTTGACTCAGTCTAAAAGGTTATTGATGTGCCTGGCTCATATAGATTGAATGGACTATATGTGATGTCATGTTAGGGTGGACCAAACTACTTAGATCATATCCGACGTAAACTGAAACCTTGAGTTAAAAAAATGGTAAAAATGTTTAATTTGGTATAACCTTTCCCATTAAAAATTTAAATTGAAAAGAAGAGAAATCTAAAATTAAACGAGGATAAATTTAAATTTAAATGAAAGTAATATATAACAATTAAATCTTTAAAGGAATATGAAATCTCACAATTAAATATTTGAGTATAGATTTGAATTTTCCTTGATTTGAGTAAAAAAAAAAGAGTCGTCATTCATTTGATATGAGTATTGGTCTAGCATTGAAGAAAACTTTTAAGAATTTTTTACTCAAATTTAAAATTAAGTTTGAAAAATAATAAGGATTGAATTGGGACTTGCAATTATTAGACTATCAAATAAATCAATGGATAAAATTATTCTTCTCAAATTTGTTTATCAAATATTATATTCTTAAATGATATGTCAAAATCTTATATATTGAAAGTAAATTATGACCGTATATTCTAATGCTTTTGTTTGGTATGATAGAAAATTTGAAGAATAGAAAGTTAGAAGGAAAAGTTAGAGGGATAGATTAAACATCATGTTTAGTAAAGAAGGAAAATAGGAAAGATAGAAAAGTAGATGAATGAATTTTTCTTTCAACTTATCAAAATTAATTCCCCCTAAAATTAAAAGGAGAGTGGATGAAAAGTTAATTATTTGTGTTGAAATGTATCTTATTTGTCTATATATTTTTTGATATATACATATATTATGTATACAATAATTTCATATATAAATACAATGATAAAATATGTATTTATATTTTTTTAAAAAAATAAAAAGATTAAATATATATATATTTTATTTATCTTACCAAATACAAAAAAAATTAATCATTTTTATTTTTCATCCATTCACGCAACTAAACACAACGGAAAGAAATTATATCATTTCTAATTTTTTTGTTTAGAGGATAGAAAATGTATTCTTCATACTTTCCATCATTCTTATCAAATGGAGCATAATGTAAAAAGGATCAAAATTTTGATATCTTGAGATATTTTGATGGTTTTCAGAATTTGTGCTGTTTAATTCTATTTTGGTTAATATTGTAGAAATAAAATTAAAATTAATATTTTTCCTTTGTTTCTATTCTTGTTTTTAAAATGTCTCCAAAAAAAAACAAAAAATCTTCCCTACACATACAAATAAGGTTGAGTAAATTTGATTCTCTTCACTGCAGAGTAGTGGAAACATATTGCACTGGGCGCTGCTGAGACAAATAAAGGTCCGGGAATTAGAGTTAAAACTTCGAAATTTTTTGAAAAACCACTGAGAAAACAGTAAGCCACCCATATCAATGACTTTGAATGTCTGTGTCAAAACTTGAACAACTTGCATTTAACAGTACTTCATTGTTTGGCATGTGATGGTTATGTGCGGTTGACCAACTCTAAAGATTACCTATGTGCCTGCGTCATTAGATTAGGTTTTAATGGACTTTATAGTGAGTATAGAGTGGACCAGGAGGTCTTGTGCACGCATCGTTAATCTAGCCATGACTCAACATCAGTTGGTCAAAGATGGAAAATGGGGATGAAACTTTTCGGCACCATACGAATTTGAAATGAAATGAAATGAATTAATTAGGAGAAATTATGGATTACACCATTGTAGGGGAATAATGTGCACTCCTACGATGACCATTTGGAATCAAAACAGTCTTGGGATAATCCATTTCAGAAAACAATAAATTTTTCAAGGGTGGAATTTTAAAAGAAATAGAACAATACTATAAGTATTTAATTTGAGCACCAATCAAAACCAATTCAATAGGATTTTTCCAAAGAAATAACACGATGACTTTGAAAAAGTTTGTGGTGGAGTTGCATTTTGATATAATTGAGTCCTTGTGACAATAATTTATGAGTGTGTATGACCGGTAATAACAAGTTTGGATTCTCTTTTCAAACTCATTTCAAGTTGAACTCATAATTTTTATTTTGTGATTTTTTTCATTGCATTGGTTATGTGCCGTTGACAATGCTAAGTGTTGTTAACCCGAAAGTTTTAATAATAAAAACTATACTATGACCCTCTCAACAACCATCTAAATCGCAATTAATTATCTCAATTATTGAGTTTTTCACAACATTGCCTATTGGAATTTGTTTTACATTGCTCCAACATCAAACATCTTATACAGTTTGGAAAATTTCATTGAAACCCTCCAAAAAAATGGCTCAATTACAAAGAGACCCCCTTTAATGTTTAAAATATTACTATCACACCCTATAGTTTATATGTTCATTAAACATATTACCCCTCCGATTAGAGACGTTACCTGCATGTACAAAAAAAGATGATGTCAGCGAAAATACCTCCTTAAATTATAATTTTTCCCTTTAAACATAAAATTGTAAAATATTCCTTTTATTCCCAAATATCCCTTATTCTATTTTTGAACAAATCTAATCTTAAACTCAAACAATTCTATGTCCTTACACATCTATTTTTCTTCTCTCTCTCTCCCAACCACCCAAAAGTCATTAGCATAGCTCACCATCACTTGAATGTTAATTAGTTGAAAATTGAATTTTAATTCGACTAAAATGAAGGTCAGTTTGGTGTTAATTTGATGAAATTGAACATTAAATTTAAAAAATATATATGTTAAATTGAATATATATTTGGATGAAATGAAATTCTAAATTGATAAATTAAATGTTAAATTGATAAAATTGAAGGTAAATTTAAGATTAGTTTCGTGAAACTGAATTTAAAATTCATGAAATAATATTAATTTAGTGTTAATTTGATAATAAAACTTAATATTAATTTGAAAAAAATTAAATATTAGTTGAATATTCATTTCGTAGAATTGAATGTTAATTTTGATAAAATTGAAGCTTAATTTGATAAAATTAAAATTTGACTTTATAAAATTTAATGTTAGCCTCTGCCAGCACCCCCCCTAACTCATATTTCATCAATTGGATGTTACTTTGTTCAAATTAAATATTAATTTAGTGTAATTTAATAAAATTGAATATTAATTTGATGAAATTAAAAAACCAGAGGGGTGTCCCTATAATTGAATTAAAAATTAGTCAAGAGTTTATATGTGCATATATACGTTCGTAAATCATATATGTTGATCATGTATAAGCAAGATAGGAGGATAAAGAAGTGAAAATGACATTTTGTTAAGGGTATTTTAGTAAAAATACACTTTTTGTCCATGCGGTTAAAGATAAAATCTCATAAGGGGTGACAGTAATATTTTAAAAAATCAAAAGGGGATATTCCTGTAATTAAGCCATTTTTAAGGGAATACCAGTGAGATCTACCCTATATACTTTGCGTGAAAAATGTCCATTAGTATAGTAACGTAAGGATTTAGATCCCTTCCATTATCCTTTTTCTTTAATTTTTCTCAATATAATGGTAGATGAGTGACATATGTAAGATTTTAAATTTTAAAAGATATTTCCTCATATATTTTGTTGTTTGTGACGTGTTAAACATTATTAAGGAATTTTCTCACAAAGAAAAAATCTTGTCAATTGAAATTTAGAATCTTACGCATGTTACTCATCTACACTGTTTTGAGGGGAATTGAAGGAAATGGATAATGGGAGGGGATCCGAATCCAGTAACATATACATTTAGAATGTCTATAGTTGAAATAATGTAAAATCAATATCGAAAGTTGGGAGTATAATATGAAGAAACTTGATAGTTTAGGAGACAGTGTAAAACCAATAATTAGACTTGGAGGTACATTGTGGTAAATATAATAGAGGAGTGGCAATATGAGAGGGGGGCATGGTCAAAGTAAAATATTCTCTTTAATAAAATAGAGGGTAGACCAAACTGTTAAGCTTTGAGCATTATGAGATCATCAATTCAAAATCAGTTTTAACGGATATAAAATGAGATGGTCATTGGAAAAATCTAAGTGTACTATTAATTAATGAGTTTAAAAAATGTAAACATTAAATATAATTAACAAAAGAGTCTAAAAGAACATAGAAGTCAAATAGGTATAGAAAATAAAAATTGCATGAAAGTAATATAGCATTTAGAAGTCAAATACTATTAATAAAAGAGTTCAAAAGGACTTACAAGTCAAATAAGTATAGAAAATAAAAATTAGGGGAAACTAATATATAAGTATCATTGACTTTATAATAAAATTTAGGGATAAAATAGAAAATTAAAATTTTTTCGCAGATATTGATATTCATAAGTAGTATATATAAATATTGATGTTGATGATGCCCAAAAGATGTTTATGCAAAATCAATCAAGTATGGAATAAAGAGGGCTCAACACAAGCAAATACAAAGATTTGGTGATTCGATTTTGGTGACCTACTCTACTGGAAACGACTACGGTGGCCAGAGAATTTTATTACTCAAGAAGTGTAGTGTGCTAAAATGTGTGTAATGTCCCTCATATGTAAGGGGCCTTACAATTTATAGGTGAGTGAAGTTGGCTCCGAGGGGCTCTAACTGGCGCACCATCCTCGTAACAAGGAGCGGGGTGATTCTATGAAGCTCGCCTTATCCTCTTAATGGGCGAGGTGATAGCAGGGTGATTCCTTGAAGATCGCCCTATCTCGTAATGGTCTGACGAGACTAGGGGTGTGCCTCTAATGACTGCGTCTCCCCATGTATTCCTTCTCCTCAGATGGAGATTCACACATGCACTGATGATGGGCTTGGTCTCCTAAGAAAGTGGACTTGGCCCAACTAAAATTCCTTGATCCTATGATGGGCTAGGCCTATATATTTGAGTTGGACCTGGTCTGTATCTCTAATCTGGGCTTGGTCTGGGTCGGGCCCATCATTTTCCCCCATGCCCAGAGTCTAATGGAACTTAGGGGAGAGGGCATTAATAAAAATTCAAGGGCATTTTTTTAGCAAGCCGAGTATGGGCGAGAGAGAGGGCGCTAAGGTGTTAGCGGTATGGAGTCGAGGCGACAATGGGCATAGACGCTACTGTGCGGGCAAGGTGTGGGTGCTAGCGTGCGAGCAAGGTGTGGGTGCTAGTGTGCGAGTGAGGTGTGGGCGCTCGAGGTTGGACGCTTGGCTGTTGGCGTTGGGCACCTTGTTGTTGGTTTTAGGCTCACGAGAGAGTCACTAAGTTGGAGACTAAGGCTGTTTGTGTGAGAGCAGAGGCAGAGTTAGATTAAGCTTTGGGCAACTCGCAAGAGAGCCATTAAGATGGTGACTGGGGCTACTTGCGTGAGAGCACTGACAAAGTTTGATTGAGCTTTTGGCAACTCAGGAAGCTCACTCCCAAAAGATGAAGAGGAAGAGGGAGATGCCAAGGTGGGCAAGCCAAGCGCAAGGGGCAAGGGCGCCTAAGGAGAGGTGGGCTCTAAAGGCGAGAAGGCAAGAAATAAGATGGTCAAGGCAAACGCTAGAGGTGAGGGGGCATGAGGCGAACGAACTCTAGAGGTGAGGAGGCGGGCGCCTAGGACAAGGCATAGTTTTGCACGATTTCTCCGGGGGCACCGATGTTGTTATGACAAAAGGGGCTGACAGGAGACACGCGAGCACTGAGGGTAGAGGATGTAGAGGTGCATGGGCGCGACAATGATGGCACACGAGAGTGCTCTTGGTTTGGGTGGAGAATTCAACAATAATGGAGGACCCATTATTTTCAAGGCTTTGTGGCAATAAAATGCAATCATCTTACTGAAATATTTTGTAACAAAGTGGAGAAAAAGCTAGGGAAAAATTGGTGGCCACTTAGAAGATTTATTGAATAATGTGGAGGATTATATTAAAAAGACAAACAAGTAGAAAGCATGATAGCTCGGACAACTACACAGGGTGGGCGGAGGGCGATGGCTGAAACCTTGTTACTTAGCATCCACATCAAAGCAAGTAGTAGCTATTGACCATCAATAATGATGCTGCAATTGCTAGAATTGTTTCGAAGTTTTGAATTCCCCTCTACGTGAGGACTCAGCTCGCTTGACTTTGGCGACATCCTCAACGTTCAAATATTTTTGGGCTTTTGATTTAAATTCTAGCATATTCTTTGGTGAGCGCTTCAAAATAGAAAACATAAGGCTGGTTGAGTGTTGAACTTCTATGAAGGCCGCCATGATGACTTTGTTATCAAGTTCTTCAATTTGGAGGACTTCTTCATTAAAATGAGTAAGGTAACTTCTTAAGCTTTCACCCTTGTCCTACTTAATGCTAAGCAGGTGGGTGGTAGGCTTCTGGTGTCAGCATCTCCTAATGAAGTGTGAGATTAAGGACTTGTTTAGTTCAGCGAAAGACTCATTGGAAGCCGAGGTAAGCTTGGAGAACAACTGGTGAGTAGATCTCTCGAGGGTGGTAGAGAAAGCCCTGCACATGATCTTGTATAGTTTGTTGTATAGTTGTATTAGGGATTTATAGGTGTCACAGTGGTCTAATAGATCTTTGAAGCCATAAAAAACTTTCACAATTGGCATGTTGAACTTTAGGGGGATAGGGTAGTTGGCCACATTAGCTACAAAGGGTGTGTCAGCACACCTCACAAATTACTCAATCGTTTCATGCCTTTGCATCTTCTTGGCATTGAAGACGTCGCCGAGTTGGTTTTGCACCCCCTTGATTTTTTCATCCCATTGGTTAAGGACGCCCTCTGAAGGGTTCTTGTAGTGGATTTCACGATCCACATGCTAGGTTTCCCCCTCGTGCTCTTAAAACTGAGGGTCGCCAGCATGGTAGGATTGAGGGGCACACAAGGAGGGAGAACCGGGGCACCCTGGTGCTGAGGCGGGGCGCCTTGGCACTGCGAGGGGGCTCCTTAGCATGTTAAGTGAGGCACTTAAGACACTAGTTGAGGCAGCTCCCTTTGTGTCATAGCCTCTCTTGGGTGCTAAGGCAGGGCTCCTCAAGAGTGCTTGGTGAGTATCAATTGGAGGAGTTGTTGGTTTTAGTTTACCAATAACTGCATAATCTCTAGTAGTTGTGGTCTGGCAACGGGGTTTGTCGGTGGGGGAGGGACCTCATCGAGACATGGTGGATCATTGTCTTCCCCTTGTTAATTCATGGATCTAGTTGTAAATAGCCATAAAATGGGAAGAGAGCAGGAAAAAATGGAAAGACAATAAAGTGAAAATGGAGAGATAGTAGGGGGAGAACTAAGTCATTCCCACATACGACGCCAAACTGATGATGCACAAAACATGTTTATGAAAAATCAATCAAGGAAAAAGGAAAAAGGGCTCAACACAAACAAACACAAAGATTAGATGGTTTGGTCTGGGTGCCCTACTCCACTTGGAATGGCTACAGTGGCCGAAGAATCTTATTACTTAAGAGATATAATGTGTTGAGATTTGTGTAATGCCCCCATGTTTAGACAAGAATTACAATTTATAGGTGAGGGAAGTTGGCTTCGAGGGACTCTGATTGAGGTGTCATCCTTGTAACAAGGAGTGGAGTGATTCTGTGAAGCTCGCCTTGTCCTCCTAATGGGAAAAGTGATAGTGGGGGTGATTCTTTAAAGCTCACCCTATCTCGTAACAGTCTCACGAGACTGGCATTGTGTCCCTAATGATTGCTTCCCCACAAATTCCCTTTTCTTGGATGGAGATTTCCACATGCATTGATGATAGGTTGGATCTCTCAAGAAGGTGGGCTTAGCTCAACTGAAATACCTTGATCCTGTGGTAGGCTTGACCTATATATTTAAGCTAGACTTGATCTGTACCTTTGATCAGGGCCTGGTCTAGGTCGGGCCCGTCAGATGTGATTATGTGAAGTGGGTTGGATTTTTAGGCCTAAATTTTAAAATTATTTTGGTTGGCATAGTCTTTAAGGTGTGTTTGTTAGACTGAATTGTATTGAGTTTTAATTTTTGACTTGTATTACATTATAAATCTTTCAATTTGGGGCTTTATTATAAGTCAGACCTAAAGCTAACTGACACTGATTGTGAGATTGTCAGCTTAAAATCAGTCATAAAGGATGGGAAATGAGGATGGTCAATCGAAAAACTGAATCAGTTCAAATTAAAAAAGAAAAAAAAAAAAAAAGAAAAGAATGGAAAAATTAAATAAACTTGGAACTATGTTAGTGCCATGCATGATCATGTTCAGATAGAGAGCTCTCTGTAGCTGACATTTGAATGTTGTTTCTACAAAGAATAAGCAGCTCCATTCAACACAGTTTTTGTATCTAAATGTTGCTAAGAGTATGATAAATCTACTTCTAATATTTATTGTGACAGTTAAATTTAGGTAGGATTTTATCCATCTTGATTTTGAAAACCTGTTGTTTGCAGAAACAATTTTTACATACACTGTTCAAAACATATTGTAAGCAATGAAGACAATTTTTTTTGGTTCAACGGTTAGGGGTATCTGGGTCGGTTTACGTGCATCTCGACTGACCCCTGATAACCAAAGCAACTAATCTAACTAATTAGGATGTTGTAACTAAAATAGTTTCACTAATCAGTTGTAACTAATCAACTAATATTTGCCATGTTGGCATTTTGTTAGATTCCAATTGCATCATCGATGCCTTCATTTAAATACTGAAGGCATACTCTTGTATAAGTGTGAAAGGATTTACAATGAAATGTTATCTCTGCATTTATTTTTGTCTTCTATGTGTTTTCCTCAATCTGTAAAACTCATCATGGTATCAGAGCCATAAGAGACAAAATTCTTCATCAATGGCAAACTCATCATCTTCAGCTCCAATTACTCCACCAGTTTCTACAACCACTTCATCAAATCTTCCTTTCTAGTCTCCCATATATCTTCTGTCTAATATTTGCAATTTGATTTCTCTTCGTTTAGATTCCACAAACTATATTTCTTGGAAATTTCAGATCTCATCACTGTTATGCCCCCACTCTTTGCTAGGTTTTCTTGATGGATCAAATCCTTGCCCTTAGAAGTTTTTATCGGATGAAATTGGTGCTCCTACCACAGAGGTTGATCCAAGTTATGAACAATGGCAGATTCAAGATCAGGCCTTAATGACACTGATTAATGCTATGCTTTCGCCATCAACAATTGCTCATGTTGTTGGTTATAATACATCATGATATGTCTGAAGATTCACCTCACAGTCACGAGCAAGTGTTATTCAACTCAAAACCAGTTTGGAGTCTATGACCAAAGGAACAAATTCAGTTGATGATTATGTGCAGAAAATCAAAGTAATCTGTGATAAACTAGCAGCAGTCTCAGTATTTGTTGAAGAAGAAGATATCAATTGTATACGTTGAATGGCTTGCCATAAGAGTACAGCTCTTTCATAACAGCAATTAGGACTAGATCTCATCCTCTTTCTCTTGAAGAGCTTCATGCTTTACTGAAAATAGAAGAAATTTCTGTTAATGTTGTTCAAAAATCACGACATACTCAGTCTCACCTACAACAATGGTTACTACATAGTACAAACCATATAGCAATCAACACAATTCAGGAAGGAACAATTTTAATCAAGGACAAAGTGGTAATCGAGGTCGATATGGCAATAGAGGAAGAAGAGGCAGAAATCAATATGGAGAAGATCTAATTCTCACTTTCAGGGCTCTCATCAGTAGTTTTCTACTCAAGGTAGGAATCTGACTTTCAACTACAACAAACCACAAATAAATTGCCAAATCTGTAACAAATTTGGTCACAGTGCTCCTAACTGCTATCATTGTATGAATATTTCTTTTCAAGGTGATCATGGCCAATATCAGTCTTCCTCTTCTCCAAACTCTACTATGATGGCCTTTTCAGATTCCTCTTCCTATTCTTCAGTGGATCATCTACCTGATAATCAATTCCCTACCTCCTCTGGTTCACAAAATTTGAATTACTGGTTGATTTAATCAGGAGCATCACATCATCTCACTTCAGATCTTGATAATCTTACTCTTGCTTCCCATTACCAAGGAGATGTCAGTATTACTGTTGGTAATGTTCATGAACTTCCCATTACTCATTCAGGTCACTATTTTCTTGTCACTTCTTCTTATTGTTTTAAACTCAATAATGTACTCAGAGTTCCTACTATTTTTGCTAATCTGATTTATGTTAAGAAATTTTGTCAAGATAATCATTGTCTATTCATGTTTAATTCTAACTCCTTTATCATTCAGGACAAGGCCACCAAGCAAGTCCTCTATCAAGGCAAATGTAGCAATGGCTTGTATCCAATTGTTGGTGTTCAGTCTTCATCTTTATCTCCTGTTGCTTTTCTTGGCACTAGAGTAACAACTCACACATGGCATGATTGCTTAGGCCATCCATCTTCTCCAGTTCTGCATCAAATTTTGTCCAAGTTTGATATTCCTTACAATAAATTTGGTTTTCATTCTTGTCAATGTACTCAGTGTTTGTATGACAAATTGTCCTAGCAACCTTTTCTAAATTCTACTACATTTTCAGCTTCACCTTTACATATGTTGCATAGTGATGTTTGGGGTCCTGCCCCTCACCTTTC